TCACAGCATCGACGGCACCGTCCCTCGTGGTTTCTCAACACGATGCTTTTCGCCCTACAAAACACTGCAGCATTTTGTTCTGTTTGGTTATGTCAGCAGTGATGTAACAGGAGAAAAATGGCAAAACAAAGCAGGAAAGCCAGGCAGTGTTTTTCCAACAGAAGGTTGCTTAAAAGTACAAGTGCTTCGGAGCTGGGGCTTTACGCACTTCTCGTTCTTAGCGCTTGTGCGAAAACTGGAGCCGTGGTTGTGGAAAGCACTTGATTGTTGTCATCAAATGCAAGTCAGATTGAAGAATGTGATTTTAGGGCCTATAGGTCTCCCTTCAGTTTGAGGCTTAGAATATAGTGAGTAGGGATTTAAAGCTGCTGTCATTTAAGAACAGGACTGCTTTTAGATGGTTTAGTACAAGGAGGAACCAAAGCAAACGTGCGTGTATGTAATGCATACATACTTGCCTCAAGTGCAAACTCACATGTCTGGTGCTGACGTGTGAAGATACTGCTGGGAGTTTGGTAGATTTTCTTTGGGTGCATCCATAGGAAGAGTGTGTTCCAGAAGTGCTGTCCAGAAAAGGGCTGGGATGGGAAGTAACTGCATGTGGTATGAGTCAAGAACACAAAGCACTACTACAGGTGGCAGAACCCTCCCCTTCTGCTTGTGCACTGTGAGGGGAGTGCTGCTGCTCTTTCTGGGGTGGATCTTATCTCAAAGGGCACATCTTTGCCGGTGCTGAGCTCAGTTTTGTTTTTCCTTTGAAAAGCTGAGTGCTCCCTTATTTCCAAGGAGGTTTTCAGTGCTAGGGGATGTTCCAGACATTAATTTTCATTCTCAGCAAGGTGATACAACCTAAATAAGAAGAGGTTGCTGCGTAGGAAATACAGATTCGAAGTAGATGCCTTTGAATACAGGCTGTGTGTGTTTAAATGGGAACCAGGGTATAGTGCTTAGTGAAGTATGTCACTGTGATGGTCTCGGGGCAATGTGAAATGAATATTCTTGTTCTCTGTGCAATGCTTTGTGTAGCTTGTGTGATATAAACTGCTGCCTCTGATGTTTGTGTGAGAAATGACATTTCTCTTCTGTCCTTTGCCCCTCTTCTAGTGACTTCCTAGTACCGGACTACTTAAACCAGGAACAAGAAGAGACCCTCGGGCAGTATGAGCTAGGGGAGCATGGCTTTGAAAGCAACTCTTCTGTCCAAATGCCTGTCATTTCACAGGTGTCATCAACTCAGAATTGTGAAAGCACTTTCCCCTTGGGGTCTCTGGGTGGGTTGGCAGAGAAGGAAGAAGATGTGCCAGAGCAGCCAAAGACTAACGCCACTGCTGAGGCAGCCGCAGGTGACCCTCCGAAACAGGAGCTGTCATCCATTACTATTGAATAAGTCATGGTTTGGTTTCATTTTTGTTCTTTGGGAAGTGCCTGTGTTTGGTCCTGTACATTTTAATTTAATTCTTTTTTTTTTTTTTTTTTTTTAAAGAGAAGTGGGGAGATTTTTCCCTTTTTCCTTTGTAAGCTACGCTTTAAACCGAAAACTGCACCAGATGTTACGGTATTTGTCATGACTGAATGCTCACTTCTGCGACAATACTTAAGACTGATTGCACAAAACCAAGATCCTGTCAGAACACCATGGAAGCTGTGAGACACCTCTAAAGAAGAACAACCCATTCAGATCACTTTAACTCTCTCTGCTTCCACAGTTAGAGCAGCTCATTGCGTTTCTCTTGCTGCTGCAGACCCTCTGGTGAAGGGACAGGGATCAGAGGAAACCTGTTTAAAATGACAAGCATTGGGAAGCAGTCCTGAACGGTTTGAACTAGTTTTGAGTGGATGCTTTAATCTCCCATGTAGAAAATGACACTTCCTAGCTCTGTGCCTACTGTTTTTCAAAGCACTTACTGTAACCCTTCCCTCGGAAGCAGTAAGCAGTTTTGAAACACAGCCACACACATTGTCCCTTTTCCATCCGAAACGAATCAGTTTTGACAAACCCAGTGATGTCCTGCCAGGTATTCCTCCTCCTGATATCCCAGTCCTTTTAGCAGCTGCTTCATCAAACCACATTTGCCCATCTAAGGTCAGGCATGGAAATAGTGCGGTCAGGGAAAAGCCTAATGGTGAGGAATGGATTGAGGCTAGAAAAATACATATCCAAGCAAGCCTGACAAGTATCTCGTGACTGTGTGTCTCTGTAGAAGGGGAACCACGTGTGGAAATGAAGGTTTTCCCAATAAATTCTTCAAAATCACGGCCAGATTGTCCTCAGGAAGCACATTCCTTCATGAGGAAGTGAAGTTCTGGTCGCTTCCCCCTGTATACTTTTGACTGATCTAACTAGAGGGAGTTTACAGCCAGGAAGAAATGAGCTCTCTTGTGCATTATTGCACGTCTTCTGTTTCTCCATGTGCATGTATAGCTTCTGAGAGGTTTATGAGGCTTGTTTTGGACAAAACAAGTGGTTTATTCTCTTTAGAGGCCAACTTTCTAACCCAGCAGGGGGTTGTTTACAAAAAGCCTATAGAGCAATGATGTTCCTGTTCCCAAACGTTTGAAGTCCTTGCCAAGTGGGTTTATTACAGGCCGTGACTCCAGCTCCGCACCCAGCTCGTGTAAGCAATAAATGGAGAGATTTGCAGTTTCATTTTTTCCATAGGTAGAGAAAAAAGGCTGCAAATTGAGGCTGGGGGCTTTTCAGAGCAGGGGGGTTTGCTTTGGTGGAGCTCTAGAACTGCTTTGAGAGCAGGTTGGTGATTTTCCTTACTGCTTCTGACGTGAACTCAGTGTTGGATGCCAAAATGCCTACTGCTGAGTATTCCAAAGGCACGACATACCCCCTTCGTTTTGAATCTTGTGTTCTCTCTGGATTTGGTTTGCACAGGCATGAGGAGGAAATGAAATCGATGGCGAAAGGTTGCCCCTGACAAAACAGAAGGCACAAAAGTCATGTTATATTGCAAGATAGGTCTGTATTCTGTTAGCTTAAGGAAGCTCTGTGGCCCCGAGTTGGTTCTACAAATAGGCAGCTTGGGTAAGATAAAATGTTTTTTGCCCTTTGGAAAGAGCTTAAAGGGTTTCAGTGACTTCAGCAATTTTCCTCTGCTGTGTTTTAGGTAAAACCCACACATTTTAGTTAAATAGAGCAAAACCGGTTGGGTTTTAAGCCCTTTCTAAGTTACTGGAATGAAGTTTCTGCACCAAAGGGTGTTTTAGGAACATGCTGCAAAGTTCTCTGCTACAATCCAGTTGTGTGTCTACCTTTGTTAGGTCTTCTTAAAAGGGCTTGAAGGAGAAACTCTCTTTTGGGGATGCTGTACTGTGTCTGTTGATGGGATAAATTGAAGACCAGTTCTCTTCTCCCACTTCCAATTCCTGTCATTGAGAAACCAATGCCTTTTGCTGAGTTTTATCCTGAACTATAGGGCTATGACACTGAACTGAAATACATCATTTCTTTTTGTCTGATAAGTGTTCCTCCGCTTTGCAGGTCTGTGAGAATCCTTTGTGATTCCTGTGGTTAAAAAGTACTTCACACACAAATGCATTTCCAGCCTGCACAGAGGCCAGAATCAAAGGTGGACATCATCTTCTGTCAGAATCTGGTAATTCCACCCTTCAGGTGCTTTGCTAAACAGGGTCAGGAGTTGCACAAATACAGCATGGGCATACCTGGATTAAACTTTTGTATCAGAAGGCAAACTGCTTTCCCAATACCAAAGAGAAGGGGAGGGGGGGGGAAGACTTTGTAGCTCTAACATGTTCTTCCTTGAAAAGAAAAGTATCATTAACTGCTAACACCTTGGCACAAGGCAAGTCATGGGTTTCATCGTTCATTGCACTGAGTTATCAGAGCATCCCAGACTGGGCTCACCCAGTTCCAGCCCCCTGCCATGGGCAGGGGCACCTTCCAATAGAGCAGCGTGCTCCAAGCCCCTGTGTCCAACCTGGCATTATCTTTTCAACCCTGTGGTCTCAGTGTAACATCTTAATTCTCACTTTTCAATCTGATTCAACGGCAGGAACAAGAGAGTTTATTTGGTTCGGGCTTGGGTTCAGTGGTTCGTGTTCCTGTGTGTAATTGTTTCTTGTTAACAGCTCTTTTCTCCATTGAAGCAACCACACGTGAAATACAAGTATCACTTTATTTCTCCTCCCTAACTTGTTGGAAGAGCTCAGTTCTTTGACATGCTGGTGTTCTTCGCAGGAGAGGTGCAAAACATAGGACGTCTTCAACCAGTCCCCGTTTCTAAGATGCTTAGATTCCAAACTGGGGGAGATGGAGATCTCACTAAGCTGGAAGAAACTTGCCTTAAACTACACTTGGGTTTAAACCTAAAGCATAAGTTTCTTTCAGTCCGTTATCAGAGGAGGTTGAAATCTGGACTGCATTTTCTTCTTTTCTCTCCTTTCTTTTTTCTTCTTTCCCTTTTGTTCTTTCTCTTATTTTCTGTTTATTTTTTCTGGGTTTTTTCCCCTTTTTTCTTCCCCCTCCAAAAAAAAACCCAACAAACAACCCAACCATTATTTGATATGCATTTATATTGCTGCTTGACAGGGATCCCAGAATGCCACAAGAGTTGAACTGGAAGGGACTTGGAGGTGATCTTCAATCCCTGCACTCCAAAAAGAGTCAGCACAAGAGGTTGCTCAGTCCAGGCAGATAAATACCAGCCCAGGTGGACTCTCCCCAGCTTCTCTGGGGAGCCTGTTCCTGTGTCTGGCCACCCTCAAAAGGGGTCAGTACCTTTGGGTGGCATTGCTTGTATCGCAGTCTGCTCCCACTGAGAAAGGCCTGGCTCCATCTTTGTCCCTTCCCATCCACTGGTTTTGAACATTGCTAAGACAGACAAACCAGATCACTCAGCCTCCATCCCTCCAATCCCTTCATCTTTTAAGTTACAAGTGGTTTAGTTCCAAACAGCTCCACGTGCGACCTGCTGCAGCTGTTTCTTTGTCATTGAGTGGTCTCCAGATCCATCCACAGTGTGATTTCTGTCCTTCTCCCACGTGGCACCAGTCTTTGCACTCGGTAGCAAACCCTTTCCTCCCCTGTTCCTTTTGCAAGCAGAGTGCCTTCACTAACCACAGAACTAGCAAGGTTCTGCCCTATGCCAGGGACCCGGATCCTCGGAGTCTGTGCAGGGTCTTTACTCCTTGTGTATCATGTAGAGCAGTACACCTGATGGGAACAACGGGAAAGGAAGGGATAGGCTTTGTTCCTGATTTAATGTGGTGTTTTGGGAGAGGGGGGAAAACTCAGAAGCTTTTTATTTCCCCACAAAGAGTGGAAGAAAAAGAAGCAACGTTTTAACTGTGCGAGAGGTTTGGCTGAGTCGTGAGGGTTTGGTTTGGTTTTCCATGCAGAGACTGGAAATCCATAGGGACACCTACACTTGTAGCCACTGAAGCTCGTGGCCAGAACTGCTTTTGTCACTGCATTAAACAAGACGTGTGTTGGAGTTTGAGTTCGGTTGTCAGGCTCGCAGATACTATGGTCAAGTCTCTCATAGTGAGAGATCAGTTAAGTTATGGGAAATGGTTCTGGGTTCACATGTATCTTGAGTCTAAAAGGTGTGAATTTAGGCTTTTTAAAAGAAGTAATAGCTGCCAATGCAGTCAAATATATTTTGTAAGACTATGATCCCTATATGTCCCTTCTGGGATAAAATGTTACTGTTTTTAAGCTATGGTTTCAAGTTTTTATATGAGGGCTTCAGTCGTTTCTTGGTTGCTGGCTTTCCCCTCCAGCCCCAGGACGTAAGAGCACTGAGACTATTACTGGTCTCTCCCTGAGAGGAACCAGGAAGCATTTTATATGCAAATAGAAGGGGAGCTTTGTGCACCCTGCAGGGATGGAGAAACTGGGGCTGTAGGAGCGCCCGTTGTTCCTGCGTCCATTGCAACTTCCACACCATCAGAATATGGGAAAATAGCTAATGTTCATTCAGATCCATTAAGTTGGAGTTTTGCTTCCGAGGTGAAACCCAGTTTTGGAGGGTTCTCATCTCCAGTTATGGACATAATAAATTCCATAGCATCTCGATGGCAGATAAGTGGGTTCAAGGCCGGACAGAACCTCAACCCCATCAGAGGTCCTTAAGAAATGGAGTCAGTTCCAAGTATTGGAGGAAATGTACCATAAAAGAACCAAATGTGAATTACTTTAATGCAACAGTGCTACTGCTCTGGGTTTTTGTTAACTCAACGTGTGCTGTCACAGTAATTCAGTGTCCCACAGGTCTCAACTACAACCCTGGTTGCACTAACAACAAAACTGAGCTCCTGGTGCTGTGTGGCAACTGTTAACCTACAGTCTTCCTGAGGGTTGTTGAAGTCCCCAGAGGAGTGATGTTGTTTCACCATTCCTTTAGCTGATGCATGCTTTTGATATCCTGACCTATAGCCCTGGCTACAGCAAGTCCTTGGACAGCTTCTTCGCCCTGTTCCCGCAGTGCCTTCACTTTAAGGTGCTGCCCTATGGTGAAACCCCTAAGAGGGAAAAAGAGGGAAAAAAACAAATGTGAATTAAGTTATTGTTGGGCTTCTTTGTGCATTTTAGTACCAGTGGAACCCCCTTTAACTTGTGCCAGTCTCCAGTCACCAGCCGTATATCCCGTTGTCATCTCATCCCCAGTACAGCTTCTCTTGTTGATGCTGGCCACAGCTAGATTACTTGGCATGTTTATTGACTTCCCCGAGTTGGGGGCTTTTTTTTTGGGTTTGGTTTTGTTTTTTAATGTATACGATGTTTAAATACACTTCACATTTTATAGACTCCTCTCTGGCTATTAGTATTTTTCAGGAACCATAGTTCTTGGTGGCTCTATCTATTTTTGTGACTTCTTTTGTAAACCAAGTGCCGTTTCAACGTTACAATCATTTTTAGAGTTCTTGTAACCAATGTGAATATCATGGGTTTTCCAATCTGTTCTGAGCCTGTAGTGTTTGCTTTGTGATCATCTGTGTCATGTATATATTCTGTATAGTTACATTGTATTGAAATACTAGCTTGTTTGATATAAGAAAAGTATGTATTGGGTACCTTTTTGCTAGCCTGGTTGTTTAATCTTTAAAAAAAAAAAGGTTTAAAATACAAAAAAAAAAAGCCAAACTGGTCCCATTATAGGTCAAAATTAAGGGGGGAGAAAAACTAGTTTTGAGTGTCTTTGGATAGAAACATGAAGCTAAGATTTTTCATTAAAATATTAATGTTTTATGGAGTATATCTTTGCTTTGTGTCGTTATTTGACTCCGGAGGTTGGCTCGAAGCCCGAAGGGCCAGCTTTGGCCTTGGGTGAGAGGGTGCAGCTCGGGTCCTAGAGCTGCGTTCTCTTGCAGCTTTTGCTTGTAGTTGGTCTCAGAAGGGAGGAGGATGAGGAGGACTCGCCGGTGCTGAAGCTGTCGTTGGGGAGGAAGGTGGCTTAAACCAAGAGAAGCGTTAAACGGTTGGAGAAGTGATGTGAGTAAGGAGTATTAAGAATAAAGTCCACATTTCTGTTTAATTTTCCATGGCATATCACATTTCCTTTTGTTAATGTTCTCTTTTAGGCAACAGCCATCTTTTAGCGATGGAAAGCCAGCTGAGAATGAGCCAGATCACATTAGTCAGAGCAGAGGATGGTTAATAAGGACAGTAGAGAGTCATCGCGATTGCAGCTGTGAGCTTCAGAATAGGCACAAAACACCCTAGATCCTGGGATTTAAACCACACCTCTGGTGTTTCTGGTGACCCTTGCAGTTGATTTGCCTTCTCCACATCCACCTGTGTGTCTGAGCTGGAATGCTGTCGGGATCAACACATAGCTGGGGCACAGGTAGGAAAATGAGAGGTTGGTAATGCTTGGCTGAAATGCTGGTAACTCTGCCCAGTGGCTTAGATGGGTAACCAGCAGGCTGGCGTGAGGGATACACTCCAGTAATAGAACCATAGAATCATAGAATGGTTTGGCTTGGAAAGGATGATCCAGTTCCAACCCCCTGCCATGGGCACCTCGCACTAAGACCATGTCACCCAAGGCATTCACTGGGCAAGGGATGGGGCATTCACTGCTGCTTTGGGCAGCCTGTTCCAGTGCCTCAGCAGCCTCACAGGAAAGAACATCTTCCTTCTGCCTTAATCTGACACAGGAATGAAAATGAAAAGGGAAAAGCGTTGCGTGGTGCAGAGTAAGTGGTCACAATTAACCTTGGATTGGGAATGGGGCAGGTTAAGGTGGTAAATTCCAAGTTACTTTCCTGAGGAGCTTGTGCAGGGACGAGTATTTTATCAACAGCGTGGCTGAAAGAGGGAGTGTATTTGGCGAAGGCTTTGGAGAGAATGAAGGTTGAGATGGAAAAGCTTTAAGCCTTTTGGTCTGCAAAAGCAAGGATTTTGCTGCTTTGAAGACAGGCAGAGCCTGTTAGGAGCACGCAGTGATGCTTAGCAGAGCATTCCAAATGTGAAGCTGTGTGACTGTATATGAGCATACACTATCATCACCACTGAGACTCATACCTTTGATGGAGCTCGAGCTTCAGGCTTCTGACTCGAGGGGGTTTCTCCAAAGCACAACCATATGGTTTAAGTTTAGTATGAAACATCTTTCAGACATCCTTAACAAAGCAAGTGGAGGTTTTTCTGTGGCTTCCTTATAGCATTGAAGCATTTCATTCCTGGCAGGAATGAAGTACTATTTCTTTTGCACAGAGGCTGGGATGAGATCGAACTCGTAGCTACCGAGACTGTATTAGAGCAGGGAACAGAGTTCTCCCAGGGCTTCCTGGTGAAAATGAAGCTGCTAAGAGCAACCTGGCTTGGATTACGTCTAAAGGGCTTTTCACAAGCTGCTTGTGCATGCTGCATCTCCAGAGTACTGAGCCGAACTCTGTCATCATCTTAGAGCAGAGGTCGCAGTGAGACCATGAGCGAGCAGAGCAGGGTAAGCGTGTGCGTGGTAGAGCCTTGGTTACAGCTCAGAGACGTGAGCCTTCGCTCATCCTCAGTTTGGGGGTCTGGTACCACTGTGTTTTCAGAGGAGGCACGCACTCTTGGGGCAGGTTCACACTTCCTGCTCATAGCCCTGATGTTCTTAGTCACAGGTCCATTAGAAAGAGGCCACAACCACCCAGAGTGAAATCCATGCGTTTGAAAACCACTCCAAAGGCTTCAGTTCACTGCCTTTGATGCTGAGTTGCCTCTGGCTCAGTCACAAGGACTCCTGCTAGAGACGAGAGCAACTCAAGGGCCATCTCTTTGTGTATCTCTCTTGAAGCTTTACCTCTGATTGTTGAAGTTTGAACTCTTCCATCACATAAGAGAGGTACCCAACTGTATGTTTGTTCAAGTGGCCGCACCACCGAAACTGGCTCTGAGACACCCCCCCCTCCAATACAACCGCTGAGATTTATGTGGGATTCTCTTTGAGAATACATCCACTGCTTCTGGCTAAACTGCATTCCCAGTTTTCGTATGCCTGCATAAACCTAAAGGCTCAGGCCTTGCCTTTGTAATGCATCATTTGGAAGGTAAGTGATTATTCTCACACAGTACTGCTTGTTCGCCTGGACACGCACGTGCCCGCACGCACGCTATCTGTGTGCTCATTCCAAAGGAATTTGGGATAGCAACCATCCAAAAACATCAATAGACCAACTCTTTCCTTGCTGCTTCCCTACTGGGGATGTCTTTTGGTATCCAGCATGACTGTCTTTTATATGGTGAATGCCCCTTTTAGGGACTAGAAGGCATTGGGAATAGGAATTGGAAATGGAGCACCTGAACCCTTTGGAGGCAGGGAAGACATCTCCCAGGTGAGTACACCTCTGAGTCAGAGGGGAATAACCAAAAGTGAGAGGAGCAAGGAAACTGTGATGTGTGGAGGAGGTGACTCTCACTTCCAGGATCCCTTTTGCGTGTGTACAAGTGAAGAAGACATCTGATGCAGGCACAAGGAGAAATGGTCCCTCAGGGTTTGGTGCTGCATCACTGAGGGCTTACAGTCCACTGGCATCCAAAGAGCCACATCAATTACAATCCCAGGCCATTAAAGCATTTCAATAGACTGCCTTTCCAAAAATGTGCTTAAATGGCTCCTCAAGAGCTCAGCCACTCGGTGACGTTTACGTCTGTGCCTCAGCACGGGGTGCTTTATAGCCTGTGTGTTAGTGGGGTGCACAGAACCGGTTGTGCACAGAGCCTCGCGCTGCCTAAAACAGAACTGGAGAGCAAAGGCACCCAAGCCCAGGACTAATAGGCAACAGAGCTCCGAAAAGCAAAACAGCTCTTCAGGGTAGGGCTTCATCTTCCCAAATCTAACCGAGAAGAACAACAAACCCCTTTTGTGTAACCTCAGTGTTGCAGGGATCGGTTTCAGGGCTGACGTGACGGCAGTTGCAAACAACAGTTATGCAACTGCCCCCTTGATTGAGCTGAAGTTAATACAGGCAGAGAAAGAGCCAGACACCGAGGACTGGCTTTGGGTTGGCTTGTTCTGTTCTCAAGAGCTAAAACATGCTCAGGTCAGGCTGCACAAGAACAGAGTGAGTGTTCGGGGCAGGATTTCGTTTCTCTTCTATGGGCCTTTTCCCTTCTTGTTTTTACCTCCCGGTGAGGTAATGCAGGGTTCTCGTTTTCCTTGAAACCTCTTCTTTTTCAGAGCCAGTTTAACCCAGTGAATCACTGGGAATTGGGATTCCAGTGTCACTGGTTCCGCCCTCGGAGCCCAAGGCCCACGTCCCCGTGTGTGCAGGCGCCTTAGTTCCTCCACTCACCATCTGGAAGGCGTTTGGATGTTGTGGAGTGGGACTGCTGCACATTGCACAGGCAGCATCTGGTGTCTCAGAGACAGCAGAGGTTCCCCTTCCTCAGAGGGAACCCTGCTGGGATTCAGGGAAGGAAGCATCCCTGCCGCAGGTAGGGACACCTTCCACTAGAGCAGGATGCTAGCCCCATCCAACCTGGCCTTCAACACTGCCAGGGATGGGGCAACGCCAGGGTTGACCTCTTATCAAACAAATCCCAGGCCTTTCCTGTTTCTCCTGCGTTTCTCCCAGTGACTCAGGGGTAACACATCCAGGAAGAGATGGGAGATACGAGTTAAACCCATTGTTTGCTCCTCCTCACCTTTTCTCCCCTGCGTAGTAGGAGGCAGAGGAGCCTCAAGCGAATTTGCTTCCAGTGGGAGAGCAGGAAGCGGATTTTGGAGGCTCCTACACTGACGTGTGCTGCTGGGAGTCATGCAGGGAATTCGCTCTCTTGCATGCAGCAGAGAGCAAAGGGCCAACTGAAACCTGCAGAATGCAGCACACGTGGGCTTCAAACATGCGTGCTCTCCTGCAAGGAGCTTTTGTGTGGGTTCCCTGACGGGTTTGCCTTGCTGTTGAGGGTAACAAGCTGAGCTGGAAGCTGCCTCTCTTAGCTGGTGAGTTCCCAAAGGCCACTGGTTTACACTCATCTTCCCCGAGCCCGTAACTCAGCGTGGCAGATTCCCCTTGATGTGCCTTAGGTGACACGAGCGGAGGAGCTACCTCGCCATCCCTGCTTGCCTTTCCTCCTGTTGCTGTGGGTTCTAAAGGGGCAAGGAAAAAGGGGAAGCTCACATGGCCTTTGCCATCTCTGGAGCCCAAAACAAAGCCCTGGGAGGTGAAATGTGATGTTTTGCTTAGCCTTCCCCTCTGGAGACATGAAAAGAATTAGAGGAGCTTGATCTATGGTGTGGCTCAGCAGCTGTGATGGGTGCTTTGTTAAAGTCCAGCGCAATCAAGCTAACACAAACCAGAGCCTTCCCCTGTAGCTTTCTGTAACCCTTTAAAAAGTGATGGATGCTTTGCAGCAGGAGTGGGGAGAAAGCAGTAGGTGAGGTCAAACAGCACAACGTGATAAGCAGGACGATTAATAGCCCTTAATGTGAGCTCGCAAGCTCTTGGCTCCTTGAAAATGATGTAGTTTATAATGCAGGACAGATTGCCTTCATCAAAAGAGCCATTGCAATAAAGCAGCTCCAAAGAGGGGATCCTTTTTTCTCTCTGTCTTGAGCAGTTTTGCCCCTCTTTGTGCTATAGGAGCGATGCAGCTTTGGGAGAGGCAAACCAGCAGCCAAACTCTGGTGGCAATGGTGCCTTTTCCCCTGTCTAAATCCCCTGGGTCAGCTGCACTGGATCAGGGCACGATCTGGTTCTGTCTTTAGAGGTAGTGACGATGCAGGAAAGCCTGCCCCAGAGTGGGTTTGCAGGACCCATGGTCTGAGAAAGCCTCTCTTTTGTTTGCTGTCAAGAGACTCTGAGCTGGATGTTAGGGGAGGCAATCTAACAGCACAGAATGGACTTGCTTATCAGGGCACGTTTTCCTCTCATCAGCTGTTTCAATGCATTCCTAGGTCCCTGCTAGTAGACCAGGCAGCTACTGATGTCTCCTTTCCTAAAGCCAGAGAAGGAGGGATCAAACCTCAGCAGGAAGAGGCTTTGGACAAAATCCTTCTGAAGTTGCCTCCTGAAGATGTCTCCCTGGTTTTCCTGCTGTTAAGGATTCTCTTCCTGACTTGGAAGACAAGGTAATGTCAGATCATCCCCAGTTTTCATGGAGAGGATGCAAGTCCCTGCAGGACTCTGGCTTAGCCCTCCCTTGCTTGCCTTCAAGTCGTGTTTGCTGGTTTGGCTCTGGGGCAGAGGGGGTTTGTCAGGGCTTTGAAGACTGGAAAACAAACCTTCCCTTCCCCTTGTGAAAGCTGAAAGGATCAGGGCTGGTTGATGAGAGCCCATCCCAAAAGTGCATTGAGAAGGGTGGGTATTTGCAGCCCTGGCTCAACTAAGCCGTGTGTAGTTCCCTTGCCATAACTACAGAGCTAACTACTTGCCCTCCCTATTCTCTTTGTAGAAAACAGCTGTAGTATCACTGTCAGAGGCTGGCCTGGGTAAATTGCATTAGTATATTGACAGAGTTCAGATAGTCCCATGCTGGAAGAGCGCCCATAACTAAATCTGCTGGATTACCCCCAGATCCAACAGCCTCGAGCGGGGAAAAGCAGACTTTGCAAAGCCAGACCACTTCTGCTGTTCCCTTTGCAGCCCACTGCCCCTAAACAGAGCACTTCCATCTCTGCATAACCCTTGTGGTCCATGAGCTTCGGCTCTCTCAGCCAGGTCTGAATTTAGCTGGTGGTTTTCTATCCCCAGAGGTGTTTCATTAGCTCAATTACAAGTGACACGTTGCACTCTGTGCTGCTGAGTGAAAAGACCTCCGCCAGCCTAAATCCCTCTCCAAACAGAACCCAATTAACCTCTTAACACCCCTGCCTTTAATCCCCGTGCTCATGACTCGCTCACAGCCACACCTTTTAAAGAAGACCAAAGGAAGCCACCGGGGAGAACCACATCCTTAACAGCTGAGGTGTTCATACCGGGTCTTGAGGTTCAATTGGGCTTGGCTAGATGCTGGTGCTGGTCCAAAAGTAAGAGCTGTGGTTTTTGTGCTGGTGTCCAGGGACAGTTCCCCGTTGCACATCATTTGGGTGAGCACCTCGCTGTCCCCATCTCTTAAGGACAAGCAGGGATCCTCAGTGCCACGGCGAACGCATTGGATGCAGGCTCGTGTGCGACTGCAGAGACGTCACTTGTTGCAGACGTGCTTGCCAAGGGTTCGGGTTGCTTCTGTGAGCTTGGGATCCTGGGTCAGCGTTGGTTGGAAGGTGGTTGAGGTGCCTGGGTGTTACAGTGGCTTCCTGCTCGGGGCTGAGGTTTGCCCTAGATCCATTAATATCTTGGCAGCGGTGCTTCCTCGCTGGTGGTGTCAAGACAGTTAGGTGCTGAAGTCATCAGTCAGGCATATAACCCTAAATGGATGGGTTGGATCAGTGACCTACTTTAACATACAAGCCTTGCACAAGCCTGACCTTCTTCTCCCCGTGATCCACCCCCAGGACCTCAGCAGCAGAAGCCATTTCAAAGCATCCTCTGTGCTGGTCGCGTAAGTCCCACTAGCAAGGCAGCGAGTCCATCAGCTGGGGCCGGGAGCTGTGATTTGGAAACCCTGAGTGCTTGCTTTGGCTCCAGCCTTACTTTGCAAATGCACACAAACCTCTCGTTTTCTTGGGTTTTTTCCATTGAATCCACAGCCCATGTCCTGAGGAACTTGTACTCCCTGGGAATTAGCGGTAGGATTATTACTGGAATTCCATCTGCTTGCACGCTCAAGTGAGTTCTCAAGCTGGGGTGTGATGTAGTCTGCAGCAGTTGTTGGGGTTTGTTACTTGTCTAAATAGGTCTGCTTTCATCCCATAAGCATTTTCCTCCCAGTGTAGCCAGGACAAGTAAGCAGTAACACTCAGAGAGTGGCATAACCAGGCTCTTGAGGACAAACCAGCCCTGGGGACTGATCAGAACAGGTTACAGCAGAGGTGTGGGGTTACAGCCCATAAACTGAGCAATACAGTAAAAGACATCCAGACAAAGTCAGTCTTTTCCAACCAGGCTGCTCTGTGGGTTGTGGATCAGCACGATCCATCTGTGTTCCAACCAGAGCTGGGTTTGGAAGCACTGCAACAAACAGCACCATAAGAATTCCTCTCTTCGTTGGGTTTCACTTTTTAGTCCTATAGGTTTGAACGTCCTGGCAAGCATGCTTCCTACCAACCACTGCATGGACTGGCATGGAGCAGGATTACTGTCAGTGTGGGATAGACTAGGCAGCCAGACAGCTGCTTTGGGGAGGCTGATGGGTTCTGGATGGAGTCGGTGGTGTGGTGGAGCAACCCAGACCGGTGCGTGCCTGTATGGATGTCCTGTGTGCATGCTCGCTGAGTGATAAAGCAGGATGGATGGTCTGTAACGTGGAGAGGCAAAGTCAATACAGACAGAACTAGTCTGGTCAGGTTCGC